TACCGATTTGTTATGGGCTTTGTGATCTCCCCGTGTTTACCGTCATGTTGTCCATGTAGTTTACAAGATCCCTGACATTAAATTTAAGTGCTTTGGCAGTTAGATGTAGTTGCACTTGTATTAGTGCAGCTTCGCATCCCGTTGTTGACGTGCTGACAACGTGTAGAGTGCGAGATCGGACACCTGGGCGAAACCCATTGTTGACAGTCAGCAAGGTACTGTTTGGCGAAGAAGCGGTTGGAGATGCAGCTGTTCACTCTAGGTGCTGCGACGCCGTGGAATTGGGGCCTTTTTAAACGACTGGTCTTTTAAGTCTTGCGGTACTGTAGTGGTGTAAGACGATCATCCCAGTGACCGCTACGGTAATCACGAAGGCTTGTTCATTAACCCAGAAACGATCGGTATCACTGTTAGCGAGATGGGTGTAATCAAAAATGTACGCCTCGCGTTTCTGTGAAATAGATATACCTTCTCGGAGGGTACTCTATTGATCAACCTGGGCGAGTCACTTGCCAGTTACCGGTGACCCTTTCTCTGAAGTGAACATGGTGAACACGTGAACTTCGGCATACGTGTATTTCTGCTCTCTGAATAGAGAATCTGTGTCTTCAGCACAGGTTTTCTGATAAAGCCGTTATTCCTTGTGCCGTTTTACATTTCCTTAATGAGGTCAGGTACAATGTTCTTCAGAAGCGAGTACTGATGAAAGATGAGAGTTCGTCTGCTGCTGTAGCGATGACTGCGAAACCATGCTGGGCGCGCTTTGCCATTGAACCGTTTATCGTCTTTAGCATCATCATTATTTTCAGTAATATTTATCCATTCTTTTAGAATTGCGATCTGTTTTGCGATGGCCTCCACAAATCCTGCTGACAACACCGAATCGTCGAATGCGGTCAAGCTGGAAATCTACCAACGCTTGATGAGCTTACCCTTGCTACAAGCGGCCATGGAGCAGGCTTTGAAGACGTATGGCACTGCGAAAAAATCGATTCCGGTTTTTAACTATGCGTTGAACTTGACGGAGTCAACGGTCACTCGAGCGATGAGCGTTGCTGCACCGGTCGTCAGCAGGATCGACGCACCTAGTATGAGAACTCTTGCTGCACAATGTGCTTGACTCATTTATTAGATTTACTTCAT